GAAGACGTTGCTGATGATGGAGTGGTGGATGCTCTTTTTTGGGCTCTTCGGGGAAGTGTCTGGAAATAAAATATTTTTGGGTGAAAAATGGAAAGTTTTAAGATTTTCAGTTTTTCGAATTTTCAGAATTTTTTTTCGCAAAATTAAAAAACACCAATTTTTCAGAAAATTCTGAAATTTCAAGAAATTTCAGCCAAAAAATTCCGAGTTTTCAGCCAATTTTCAGACTTTTTTTTCGCAAAATTAAAAAACACCAATTTTTCAGAAAATTCTGAAATTTCAAGAAATTTCAGCCAAAAAATTCCGAGTTTTCAGCCAATTTTCAGACTTTTTTTTCTGTTAAATAAAAATTAAATTTGCATTAAAATTGTTACTTCAACTACTTTTGAGTACTTATTTAGTATGCACAAAGTGCAGTATTTCATGACAACTTCGTGAGAAAATGAATAAAAAATTTATTTGGGTTGGAAAAATTTTTTTCCAGGAGGGAGAAAGTTTCGAAGCGGGCGGTTCGAAAATGTCGCGGTTTTTTTGAAAAATTTCAGTTTCAAAATTTCACTGTTCAAGTTCTGAAACTTCACAGTTCTAGAATGACTAGTTTGTAAATGTTCTTGATTTGGAATTTTTCAAAAAACTGATGTTATAGAACGCCACAGTTCCGGAACCACAGTTCCCTGTTTTGGAACGTTTCAAAAAACCAAGTTCTGAAAAGTTGCAGTTTTAGAATGACCAGTTTTTAGACGGCTCTGAATGGCAAGTTTCACAAAACCCAAGTTTCAAAACGACGCAGTTCTCGAATGGCTAGTTTATAAATGTCCATGATTTAGAAAACTTCATAAAAATCCAAGTTCTAGAACGTCGTAGTTCTAGAAATGTACCCCGTACCGTTTTCGAGTAAACGCCATTTCTGCTCTGCCACGTGCCAACTAGCGGCTGCCATGCTCCATTGAAAATCTTCTGATAATCAGTGGTTACCACTTTCATTATCATTGCTCCTGAAAAATAATAATAATTGGTGGTCTAATTTTTGCAAATTCTAGGCCATCAAGCTAAGGGTGGCCTAGAAAACCAAATTTCTAGGCCACCATTACTTTGCTCGTCAAATTCTAGGCCGTCCAGTTGAAAATTGGCCTAGAAAAATGCATTTCTAGGCCATCATTTTCTTCAAAGACCTAGAAAAACCTAAGCGATTTCATGCTTTTCTTACCCTCATAACACTTTCTAAATGAAATTTTCATCTTCAGCAATGGCGCTCTATCGCCAATATTCTCCGTTTTCACTTTTCTAAATTCAGATGACGTGGCGGCAGAATTCCGATGATGAGGTTTCGAAGATTTTGAAATCATCAAATTGTGATTTTCGTCTTTCTTGGGCGACAATGGAAGAAGTGGACCCGATGAGATTGGTTCATCTGAAAATGGATTTTTTGGGGGAAAAATTTCAGAAGAAAGAGCAATTTTCAGACAGTGATGCGGTTTATGATTGTTGCTAATACATTCTGAAAATGGGAAATCGTCAAAATTTAGGCTAATTTTCAGAATAAATGAACCAATTTCAGACAAAATTCAGCGAATTTCAGGCAATTTTAGGGCAACAAAATCAAGAATTTTCAATTATTTTCAGTTGATTTTAGATCATTTTCTGCCAAATTTCAAGTAATTTTCTGTTAATTTTAGCATTATTTCCAGCCTAATTTCAGAGTATTTGTCGTCAAAATTGGGCATTTTCAGCCAATTTTCAGACTTGTTTTAGTTTTTATTGCAAATTCCGAAAATTTTCAGCAAATTTCGAACTTTTTTCAGCGATTTTTCACAAATATTTCCAGTTTCTTCAGACCATTTTTTAAGAATTTTGTATTATTTTCAGTCAAACTTTACACTAATTTCAACACATTTAAAAACTTTTTCAGAAAATTTTGGCTGTTTTTAGGCCTCATCAGCACAATTTAGCTGTGTTTTTAGCCAATTTCAAACCATTTTTCAGCTCTTTCAACGTCTCCTTGGGCACTTTCAACACCAATCTCGGCAGTCTTCCTTTGAATTTTCGAACGGGCGGCTCTTCGACTCTCTGATGTTTTCTCTCCATTTCCTCTCGTTGTTTCCTCTCTTTTTCCTTTTTCTGATACAATTTTTCCAGCAGTTTCTCTTTTTTTCTCTCTTCCCGTGCCATTTGTTCATTTCTCAGCCGTCGTTCGTAATTCGTTTGCATCAATCGTTTTCGTGTCATTTTTGGACCAGAAATCGATGCATTTGATGGCGTTTTTTCCAGTTTTTGAGTCCGTTTTTCCGATTTTGGCAGACGATATTTATCGAATTTCGGCCATTTTTGTGGGATTCGATCGTCTCGATCATGGTGTTTTGGCTCGTAAATCAGTGGTGGATCGGCCTGCAAAATTTTGGAGTTTTTCGGCATTTTTTCCGGATAAAATATACATTTATCTGGAGTTTTTTTCTGTCTGAAAATCCTTGAAAAAATTTGAGGTTCCCTTAAAAATTGATTTTTTGACATTTTTTCTTGTTTTTTTTTTGAAATTTTGAAATTTTTTTTTTTGAATTTCGGAAAACCTAAAAGTTTTATTTTTTAGAATTCTCAAAAGTTTTGCCTGAAAATCCTCAAAAAAAAAATTTTTTTTTTGAATTTCTTTTCTAAAAAATTGATTTTTACAGTTTTTCAGAGATTCCTAAATCTCAAATTGTCTTTTTTGAAAATTCAAATTCTCGAAAAAAAAACAAAAATTTTTGAATGTCTCAACAATTTTCGTTCAAATTTCTTGAAAAAAAAACTATTAAAATGTTGAAAATTCTCGAAATTTTTCTGAATTTTCGATTTCGAAAAGTTTTGAAAAATTCGGTTGAAAATCCTCAAAAATGTGATTTTTTCTTAATTCTCAAATTTTCAATTTTTTTTGTGAAATTCAATTTTTTCTCGCATTCCGATTTTAAGAATTTTTGAATTTTTTTGATTTTCTCATTTTTTGACCCAAAATTTAAATTAAAACATTTTGATTTTTCACTAATTTTCAGCCAATTTTTCGGACTTTTTCGGATATTTTCAGTCATAAAAAAGAAAAAAAAATACTTTGAATATTTTGAGCTTAACGACAGGTTCTGGAACAGTGTAAACTGGCGGCGGTGGAACTATCGGATCGAAAATCGGGATGAATTCTTCGAAAAGTCGTTCAGAAGACGTTGGAAAATATGGAATCGGAGGAATCGGAGGAGGTGGTGGCGGCGGTGGAAGATGATGAATTTGAGGGGATTCTGATGGTGGTGTCGACGGAATTTTTGTGGAATTTGGAAAATCGGGAATTAGGGGCGTGGCTTCAGCATCGACTTCGGAGTTGTAGCCGAGTTGGTGAGGGGACATGTTATCGTAGATTGGAATGCTGAAAATCGATATTTTGAGATTCTGAATATTTAAAATTCAGAGATTTCGGGATTTTAAGGTTCTAAATTTTTGAAATTTCGAACAAAAAATTTTGGTCCGAAGTACAGATTCTTAGAATTCTGAAAGTTTAAAATTTCTAAAAATTTGAGTTTTTGAAAATTTTCAAATTCATATAATTTTCCTTACTTATAACTCGGCGGTGTGGGATGTCGAATCACTTTTGGTTTTTCCGGTTTTTTCAAATTTTCGTTTTTCAATTTTTTCGATTTCAGCATCGCCGCAGACTCGTCTCCGTGAATTTCGTAGTTCTGAAATTGGATTATTTTGGGATTTTTGGGATTTTCGAAAGATTTTTTAGATTTCAGACTTTCAAAACTCAAAAATTTGGATTTTTTGAAGTATGTTTGGGATTTTCTCAGAACAAATTTCGAATTTTTAATTCTGGAGATCTGAATTTTCTAGAATTTTCAGATTTTTATAATTTCTGAATCTTGGAATTTGGGATTTTTCAGATTTTTAGAGAGGTAATTTTTTGAGAATTTCAAATTTTTAGGTTGCAGAGATGAGAATTTTCAAAGAACTCGAAAGTTGAAAAGTTTTGAAATTTTTTGAACTTTCAAAACTTTAAAAAATAAGAATTTTCAGAAATTTTCCCAGAATTTCCCAAAAACTCTCCCATACTTTCGGCGGAAATGGTCGAACTTGTTGTGTGTACTCCAGAAGGCTGCGCAAATCGACATGATGAATTTTGAATAAATATTTCAAATCGATCGCCGAATTCAAGCCGATTCCCGTTCTTCCAGCTGCAAAAAATTTAGATTTTCGGAAATTTTGAATTTTTTAAAAAATGTTGTTCTTCTGTGCATCCTGATGTCCACAGATGTTTCAAAAACATTCTTAAAGATTTTTAGATCGTCTTAATTTATAAAGCCGAAAATTGCTTTTCCTGAAAAATCGATTTTTCAATTTTTTTTCCAGAATTTTTCCATATTTCCCGAACGAACAATTCTCCAGAAGTGCTCGACACGTGTCACCCATCGTCGTCAGCTTATCGGCGACTAGACCAACGAGCCGGGCATGCGCAGCTTCGTCGATGCTCGTAAAATGCAAATTGTCGACAATACGGCTTATCGAATCGCGTAAATTCTAGAAAATTCGAATTTTTCGACCCTAAAAACGGGTTTTTCGGCAAAAACTCACATGTAAAACTGCATTTTCCGGTGTCATCGTGCGCAAGTAACTTCTGAAAAAAAATCGAAAATCATTGCAAAATACAGTAGTTGCAGTTCTCGCTGCGGTACATTGCTACAAAACGCGGCATGCGCCTTTAAACGGACTACTGTAGGTGAATTTTTTGCAGATGTTTTGTTTTTTTTGTCGTTTTCGGCCTATTTCCACCTATTTCCGTAGATTTTTTTGCAAAAAAGAGAGAAAAGTTGAAAAAGAAGATGTTTATTGATGTCTGGGTGCAGTGCGGACCATTCCGAAACAAGCAAAGTGCTCAAATAGACAAAAAAGAATACAATTTTCGAAAATCAAAGAAACGGAAAACACCTAGAAAACCCCATGAAAAACTAAAGAAACAAGAAGATTAACATACAGAAATCTGGAAAAAAGTGAGTAAATTTTAACACAGCTTTTTGGGAGGCACTGGGAGATGAGAAACAATAGAAAATGGGAAAAATATTCTAAAGACTACAAGAAAGATATGAAAAAGCGATGAGTCATCTGGGAACAAAAAATCGAAAATTCTAGAAATTTCCAACAAAAACAAGGAAAATCAATAATTTAAGAAACATCCAGTCGAAGTGTGTACTCTTGGTCGATTCCCAGATAGCAATCGCTGAGAATGTAAACGGAAAGCGAATGTTTTCCTCTGAACATTTTTATCATTGAAATACGCAAATTTAAGCTATTCTAGAAAAAAAAAATCAATGTTCTTACTTTGCCGCTGGAATTCTGATATCCAATTTAGCCGTTGAACGTGTCGAATGCGACCCGACGACGGTAGTGGTATTCAGAATTTGATCGTTGAATTCACGGCCGACAATGATAATCCATCCGGCTTGTTTGGGTTTTGGCCATTGTGGGAGGTGCATTTGAGAGTTGTTCTGTAAGATTTCGGCATTTTTGGGATTATGAATTCTAGAATTGCGGAATTTTTGGTACCCAAATTTTTGAATTTGGAGCCGTTTTTAGATGCTCAAAG